ACTGCTTTTTTCTCTCTCTACCTCCCTCTCTGACTGTCTGTCTGTCTGTATGTCTGTCTGTCTGTCTATATCTATCTATCTATCTATCTATCTATCTATCTATCTATCTATCTATCTATCTATCTATCTATCTATCTATCTATCTATCTACCTTTCAGTCGGTGATCTACCCCCTACTGATACTGCAGAGACTTAACTTAGTCCGCAAAAAGAAGAAGAACAGCACCCACCTTTCATCTCATCAATTTTCCAGTCAACATAATGTAGCAGCATTTCTCTCTACTTGTTTTTCGTCAAACGGTACAAGAAATATGTATTAAAAGACAGCCAAGTTATCGTGTAGGCTATAAATGAAACGACATTGATGTTTATCAGGTAATAATTTAAACAGACAAAACATCGGTTCCAGAAAAAGGTTTTAGCATTGGTGGTAGAAGAATATAGACCGGTTATGTCTGTACTTTTCGACTCGGATTCGAACTGATCAGAGAACAAGTTTGTCTCATTGATGGAATCAAATGGTGTCACAACATATCTGCCTCTGGCTGTTTTGGTATCAGTAATACTATCGAGAGATTGTCCTAATTTCTGGGAAACTAAGTTCGTGGTAGGGGGATGTACAATTTCCTTTCCTGCGAAAGTTTCATCATAATTTCTGCTTTTAAGTACAGTTTTGACGTCAGAGTATGTTTTTGAAGCCACGGATTTGCTTGGTCTTGTGTGACAACGGAGCTGCAACACTGCCGCTATGACGCAAATGCAATTCAGAATGAAGAGGCTGAAGATGTAGAAGACGATGATGGGGAACGTGTCCGATCTATGGGGGAGCTCCCCGGTCACCGTGCCCATGAAGAAAGTTTGAGAGAGCAGCATCGTGGTCGAGAAGGAAGCGCGCTCGCCGCTGGTCTCTGGGAGTACGAACACAAGTGAGGACAACGCAGACATTATCACTAAAGGGATAACGACGTTGAATACGAAAAAGTCTGGTCTTCTCTGGAGCTTAAAACGGACAATGAATGCTGCAGGTACGTCTTTGTTTACCGAGGAAATTATCTCAATAGTTGAGAAAACGATATCCCATTCTCCGTTGGTGCTGTATGTGAATAGTCTGCCCTCCTGCTGACCCTTCGTGACTTTTACCTCACGTTCCGAGTTGTAGAAGAAGAAAAACATTCGGCATTCTTGCTGGTCAAATGGGAAATAAGTAAAGTCCATATCGCAGGAGGTAGAGAAAACTGAACCAGGGGACCATTTAGACTCACCGTTGTACTTGATAGAGGCTGGTATGTAGTTGTCTTCAAAAATGTCACTTTTTCCCACAGAGTTAGATATGATGTTTCGGGGACGCCACATGTGGGAAGGATCGGGTCGAATGACAGTAATGTCGCTATAGCATGCAGGGTCCCAGGTTCGAATTTCGTCATTCCACGAAAAATCGATATATGCATTTATGTCCATGGTTTGGTCTAATTCGTTTATGCGTAGCAGACTGACAATATGGAAAATGACATAAACTGTGAGAGGGTGAGATTGGTTCCGCACGGGTCTGGTGTGGGGGTTATATCTCCCTGTGGTCATCTCAGTGTACAGGCGACTGTAGTCGTCGTATGATGACGTCATCAATACAACAGATGGTAAACATGACGCTATTGCCAGCAAAAATGCTGTGTTCAATGGTCGACGAGGCATCATGGTCAGAAAATATAGTGTTTCGAGACACACAACTAACACAAACCGTGCTCGTAGCATTCGAGTTTTGCCGTTCTTTGGGACTTTTTGACTGCAAAAACTTGAGGACGTTTCTACATCACCGTTAGGTTGAATAAAGCTGGACTGTGATGCGGACTGCCCGGGGCAGGACACCAACGCCATGTCCTCTCCTGTATAGATTTTTAATCCAGAGCTTCTGCATTGTTGATAGCCATACAGTGGTCACTACCAAGGCGTCACACCCATGCCATAGCATTATCAGCACATGGAGATTCAGGCTGGGATAAGGTATTGGGACCAAGTAGCCGTCATTAAATATCGTCTCTTTGCATAGGTTTGAAGAGTCGATTCAAAACAGCTAAAAAGCAGAGAGAAAAATATTACGCCAAGTTATTACGAGAAATATTTAATTACATCTCTTACAACTCATTATACTTGAGAAAATATAGTGACACAGAGAATAGCTTTCAACTATCACTATTCCAATGATCTGCTGAAGGAAAGTGGCTGGGTTCTTAAGAGACACTTTAATTCCTCTTCTAATGTGGTTTATACTTTCTGAAAATAAAGTACTGAGTTTTGCAGTGTAACGGTCAGACTCTTCTCAAACAAAATTCTGAGTCCGATCCCCAATAGAGAATCTCCGTCTTTCTGCTTGCATGTTTAATCCCATTTAGCCCAGGCTGTCCCTACAGGGAAAAACGAAGGAACCTGCCTCCCAAACGATATAATGGGTCGTCAGGTCTTATAACTCTTACAATTACCATTACAATAATACGAAGCTAATATCCTTTAAAAATATATGTGTTTCAATGCCCGACGACATAATTGAAACCATTTAGGGGGTGGACTTTGAACCTGCCTGCTAATCCAGACTGATAGGGATACACTAGCAGGAAGATCAAATTACATGTTAAAAATTATTCCCAGACGGAGATCGAACTCAGGTCCTCTACGTGCGACGGGGCAGCCCCTGACCGCTACAGCACACACGCCGGTACACAAATGCTTACCTTTAACGAGACCCCAAAACAATATTCAGATCTAAAATTCACATCACCAAAAGGGCTCACAGTGTAGGTGCGAGTTTGCATCCAGAGACAAACTAATGAGGTTGACGGGTTCAGAGGTTCGAGGATCTAGCTCGGTCCGACGTTTAGTTCATGACCTAGGCGCTTTATAGGAATTCTTCCCTTCGGTCCAGTCGTTCAGGACATAGACATGGAAATAGGAGCGCCAAACTCTTAAACCACACTACAGTGTTCAATGGCCTTTTACCTACTTAGGGCATCAGTGTCGCCCCCCTCCCTCTTTCCACCACCTATCATAACCTTTTTAAACATGCACAATTTCATTTTGTTATTTCTAGAAAATGGTCGGTGGCACATCACTTCAGGCTTCTTATTATCATGACCACTAAAAAGTGACATGATGTGTCCCTTTTATTTAAGCCAAAGGTAGATGCTCATGGGTCAAATCAGATAATAAGGAACAATAAATTATTATTTCTGTTGCTCTTTGGGAATAATTATTTTCCTCTAAGTCCTTCATCTTGACGACAAACACGTTAAGAAAATGGTTGTTAATTAATGAAAATAAATCACATTCCTACCTATACGTTCTTGCAATATTTGGAGTCGGGCTGCTTCGACTCTGCCTGTCAAAACCAACTTCAGCCACGTCGGTGACTATGCCTTTGCAGAATACTGGTTATACTGAATACAATAAATTCCCATCCATGAAAATATACCTAGACATTGAACTATAATCTGTGGGAAAAATATAAATAATGAACTCCACAAAGTTTTTCTCCCTCTTGACCGTTCTGAAAGGTCCTGTAAACCGCAAGATGCCGCACTGAAATAAGAGCAAATTAAATCATCTAACTAGCTAAAACTTACTAACTAGCTTTGCTTGTTGAACGATTCGAACTCTCCTGCGACGCCAAACGATTTATTGAATTCTCAAGCCACGCTAAACGATTTTAAATCCCTAGCCACGCTAAACAAATAATTGAATTCTCCAGCCACGCTAAATGATTTGAAACTCCTTGCCACGCTGAACAATCAAATGAATTCTCCAGCCACGCCAAACGATTTTGAATTCTACAGCAAAACTACATGTAGAATTATCAAACGTCTAACATAATTGTCGTGTCCTATGTAAAACTTCGGTTGATGGGTTTACCACAAATGCTCGTGTCACACATGGTGCTCTTGAACGGCTTGTACTATAATAATAGCTAAGTAAATGAAAACTAAGCCTGAATAAACACCACTCTGTCAGGTCTTGTGTGGTCCCCTCCTCCCCACAATGATATTGAGTTTTTTGCTAGCCATAGCTGTATTGTCAGATCCGGGAATAAAAGCTTTGGTCTTGTTCAATGCCCCGCTTACTCTTCGAGAGTGTAAGTGTGTGAGAGTCAAGTGAATTTGTTTTCCCACATGCATATGGCAGGCAGTGGAGGTGATTTTTTTAAAAGGGATGGATGGAAACTGAAAGAAATATGCGTTTATAAAAGAGAGAGATATATATATATATACAGAGAGAGAGGGGAAAGAGAGAGAGAGAGAGGGAGAGAGAGAGTGGTGGGGGAGAGAGAGAGGGAGGGAGAGAGAGAGAGAGAGAGAGAGAGAGAGAGAGAGAGAGAGAGAGAGAGAGAGAGAGAGAGAGAGAGAGAGAGAGAGAGGATGTATTTTCGAGCAAAGAAAACATGTGTACGTGTGTATGTGGGGGGGGGGTGGGTGTGTATGTGTGTGTGTGTGTGTGTGTGTGTGTGTGTGTGTGTGTGCGTGCGTGTGTGTCTGCGAAAGAGAGAAAGACTATTTCGTGTGTGTATATTTTTCGTCCGAAGTCTGCCTTAGAAGTAAGTTTCCATTACCCTGCCCCTAGGGCTCTCGTGGCCTAGAGGATAAGGTGTTGGCCTCTCGTTCAAAGGTCCCCGGTTCGAATCCGGGTAGTGACCAAAAAATTTACTTTTCTATTTTTTTTTTCCTTTCATCTCCTTTCCTGCTCTCTAGCAATGTTCTGTCGTCTGCTTTCGTCTCCTCTTTCTGCCCCCACTCCCCTCATCTCCTTTGCCACCCTCCTCTGGGCTCCTGATTCTTTCTACAGCCTTTCTACTGCTACTCCTTGGCTTCTTCTTACTGCTGTCTTTCAGCCACACCCCTGATCTTCTGGTAGGAAAGATCTACACCTAGCCTTCTCGGACAAAGGCGAAAAATCTCGGAGGGCCCCTGTGCAAATTGCGCACGTTAAAGATCCCTGAGTGGTCTAAAATCAATTAGAGTAGGCTTCGGCCGGCACCCGGGCAAAATTCAAAATTTCCTACCAACTGAAAAAGTTTAATGTGTCCCGCGCGCTCATATAATGACCTTAATATGCTTTGCGAGCGCCGTAAAACATTTACAAAAACAACAACAAAAAGTACCCTACCCTTTTCTCAACAGACACTGTGCTCCCATCCTACAGCGGCGTTTGTCTTGATCACGTGACCAAAGCAACATGTGACATGGCCGTGACCAATGGCGACTGCAACAAGGAAATTGGTAGACGTCTGTGCCCCGCCACATGTAAACTCTGCACACCACTTGCAACTAGATCCCATCTGCCAGGTGAAAAGACGAGCTAGATATGACCATAACGAACTGATTTATTAATCCGGCTTATAATAGTATTATGCTTCCTGGTTACGGTTAACTGGCAGGGATTTTATGCAGTTGCCATGGGGAAGGGGGGGGATGGATAGCTAGATTTATTGATAAAATTCCATTTTGAATGAGTGTCGTTGAAACTATCTGAACCATTTCTTGTATACATAAATAAATATAGCAACAATAACTAGAGCAAACGCGCAGAACAAAGTAAACAATAATAATTTCTGCATCAAAACTACATTAAGTAGTAAACAAGTTATCTCCCACCCACACACGCACACGTGCTCACACACATCCACACACACACAAACACACACACTCACACACACAGCATGTTGCATAGACACCCATACACCAATGCGCGCGCAAACACACACACACACACACACACACACACACACACACACACACGCACGCACACACACACATACATATACACACATATACACACACACGTACGTGTACACAGATACACACACTGATACAAAGATACACACACACACACACACACACACACACACACAAACACGAACACAAAAAAACAAATACAGGGGGATCAACAACAAAAACTGTACAACTTTTTTGGTTAATACATGTGTGTATTTTCATCCACACTGAATTTTTGAGCTTCAAATTTGTACACAACATTTGGAAGTCGAAAGTAATTTTTCTGATATTCGTTTTTGAAAAATCCACAGAATAGTTTTGCTCTACACATGGTGTAAAAAAAAACAACCCATTTTCAGCTATGCCCCCAATTTTGTAGCACTTGTTCGCATCAGAACTAAAAATTCCCAGACAAAACGACCATTTCAGGTCAAACACACACCGTTCGCACCAGTGTGCAGAATTCAGCAGATGGCCCCATAAGACGTCTATCCGTAGACCATGTCTGCAGCCTCAACAGTCCGCATTCTCAAGGCAGATTTTCATCTACGACTGAACTGTTTTCCCGTTCGCGAAGCTATCAGATGATAGCAATATGATCATGATCCTTCAATTGTCTTGAAAAGCGTGAATATATGCTCTATGACCTTTGGTTCCTTGGCAAACCCTATATTCACCTTTCAGGTTATATCAACTCCACAAGTACTGTCTATTTGGGCAACCTCACCTCCTACCCCTATTGTCTCTAGAAACAGCTCCATACTGTAAGGTATACAGTGTAGTATGTGGCTTTGAGCACTCATAGTTGAGTGGATCCTTGTATTTGGCCAATATTGAATATTACGAACAATGCGTTAAAATGTGTCGAGTGCAAAGGAGGACATAATTATATAGTCCAATGGTTCTTGAAATTCCAGAATTTAAAGAAAAAGAGTTTTTTGTTTTTAAACTCTGTAGGAGAAAATAAATATTGTTTAAAGATTACAGGGATGGAAAGATTAGATTTTAAAAGTTAAAGGAAAGAAAAAAATCAAACAAATCAGTTCATGATTCTCCTTACAAAATCCCTTAAATTGGTGCATTTTGCATTTATAGGTTGTCTTTTTAAAAGCCCTTTCCGTTTTCAAAATTAAGTTTCTTGTTTGTGAATTTATGTCACACAAATCCCTTTTGAATGAATTATTTATACTTTAAATTACAACATTCAGGCACACATTTTGTGCGAGATATTTAGAAAAAAAGTTGTACAGTATTAGTTGTTGTTGTTGTTGTTTTTATAACCCTGTACATGCGATCAGATAGTAGTGAATAAGAAACATTTGTTGTCTTTCGAACACACACACACACAAAATGAAGGTAACGAACTAACATCGCTATGTTCTTCTTTCCTAGCAGCGCCAACATCTGGATCCGCCTGTGAGGATCACATGATCAAATCCACTTGCCGACTGCTTGTTGCGACTGGCCAGTGTAACTCGGAACTTGGCAAACAACTTTGCCCGGCTTCCTGTAATGTGTGCGCAATCCCTAAGTCCGCTTCGGATCTCTCAGGTAAATAGAGAGATCGTTTATATAATAATAATAATAATAATAATAATAATAATAATAATAATAATAATAATTATAATAATTATAACAACAACAATAATAATAAATATAATAATAATAATAATAATAATAATAATAATAATAATAATAATAATAATAATAATAATAATAATAATAATAATAATACATTAATTAATTACGATTGCTATTGCAAAAGTTTTACTTCCACAGCTGTAAAATTTAGTACTTTAAAGTAGAACCATTGCAAAAACAATTCATAATAAGCAGCCCCCCCCCCCCCCCTCATCTGTTGTCTACAACTTTATGAATAATGCATCAAAGCAGAGACTAGGGAATATTGAGATCTGTTATGGCAAGGGGTGGGGCTCTAATAGACCATTATATCATCATAACCAACATCATCATCATCCTCATCATCATCATTGTCATCATTATTTTTTTATCATCAGCATCAGCATCAGCATCATGGCCGTTATGATAATTATCATCAAGTATTAACAGCAATAAATCCACCAACAACAAGAATATCAGCAGCAGCAACAACATCGACAACCGCAACAACAAAAACAAACAAAAACAACAGCAACAGCAACAGCAGCACAAACAACAACTACATCAACAACCGCGGCATAGCAACAATGGTAAAAACACTATCATCACTGTGGCAGAGCCACTGGGAAAAACAGAAAAGCAATAAAGTATATGTTATAAAACCCAAACTAGAACAGCGAAAACCTTCGGACCTCTCCAGAAGAGACGAAGTCATTTTTGCTCGATTGCGCATCGGACACACGGCCCTGACCCACAAATACCTCCTACAGGGAGATGAGAAGCCGTTCTGTGTCGGATGCGACACAGATTTTACCATTAGACGCATCTTAACCGAATGTCTAGACTTTGGAGAGATCCGAAGGAAATATTATAAATGCAAGAAATTGCAAGACATTTTTTTCCGTCGCTGTTCCCAGCTGAATTTTGAATTTTATAAAGGCCATTGGCCTGTATGGCAAATTGTTAAGTGAAATTTATACTATTTAAAATGTTTACGTTAACTAGAAAAAATTTCTTAAATCGAAAATATATATATTTACACTGATTTTTTTACATTTTAACATTTTAAAGTCTAAAAGCCAAAAGCTAACCAACCGTGCAGTGAACTGTTGCGAATGCAAACAAATTGTGTTTCGCGCGCTCATTATTATTATGACCTTATGCAGTTGCGAGCGTCGTAAAACCCTATACTACTACTACTATCATCACTGTCTTTCCTAATAGATCGTCCAGTGCCAGCCGAGCAAACCTTGCACTATGCGGCGAAACAACAAGGTGAGCCAGCCCCTTACTCTTCATCACTCATTTGGATTTTAAGAAACAACTACTTTTTGCTCGTGTGTGTTTGTGGATTAGAATAGTTTTTTTTGGTGGTTTTTTTGGCACACAAATAGCACCATTCTTTATCTGGATGACTCAAGTATCAACCACATGCAGGAACATGGTAGGTATAGGAAGTCACCATGATGTCGTGTCTTTACAAACTGGGCTTTAACTTTTTGGAGATAGGTCTGCATTTTAAAATAATTTTAAACAGCTTTTCCATCACGGAATTTATTTCGTCCAACTCTTTCCTTATCTGTTTGCCTGTCTCTGTCTTTATATTATTATGGGAAAACATAAATTGCATAAACAACATTATTTCACAGGGTATATTTTACTTCAGAAAACGGTATCGTCCTTGTCTGTGGATGGCATGGTCCCAGTTCGAATCCCCAACTAGGAGTTCTTAAACTCGAGTCATTTTGTGGAGTTGTTTTTTTAATGCTCTCAGCCCATTTGATATGGTCTTCTCGTACATGGACATTAAATTCTGTTCTTGCAACTCTTTTAAAAAATAGTTAACAAAGTGTTGAAAAGGTCGTGTCAACTCACACACTTACTTTTTCCGAGACGAAAAATACTACTCCTAGATTTTAAACCGTAATGGCGAGACATTAACTTGTTTCTCTTCTCTACCATGATAATCTATAAATAGTGGATCCGAGGGCATTCGTCTTTCTTTTTTCTTGGAACGTAGACAAGATAGTTTCGAAATATCACAAAATAAATCCGTCCAAGTTTCAGTTCCTTTCAAATGACATTCTACAGTATAAACACAAATAGAGGTTTGATTTTTGCCCCTTTTTATATTATAATAATCATATTTAGAAAGAAGAAAAAGCTGTGAGGACTTTTAAAATATTTTCTTGTTTTTATCATAAAGGGGGTGTAAATAATATACGCGTTTTTCTTCCCCGTCGACATAATTTAGATCAACGATTTGATCTCTCTCTCAAATGGTATTTAATTTCCGAAGACGACAGATGAATTAGTTTGGGTTTTGTTTTATTCCTTTCAGAAGCCTGCGAAGACAGCCCTCTGGCCGACTGTGAGAAATTGACCATGGATAATGGGGGATGTAATCAAGAAATAGATATTGTTGGTGCGCTGTGCCCTCTGTCGTGTGGCTTGTGCGAAGTGGGTATGTAGCCTGTGCTTGTGGGTGAGTGAGTGAGTGAGTGAGTGTGTGAGAGAGAGAGAAAGGGAGAGAGAGTGTGCACGTGCGCGTGCGTGTGTGTGTGTGTGTGTGTGTGTGTGTGTGTGTGTGTGTGTGTGTGTGTGTGTGTGTTTGTTTGTGTGTGTTTGTTGATTTCTCTATTCCTCTGTTTCTCTTTCTCTTTCTCTCTCTCTCTCTCTCTCTCTCTCTCTCTCTCTCTCTCTCTCTATCTATCTATCTATCTATATATCTATCTATCTATCTGCGTCTGTGTGTCTGTGTATGTATGTGTGTGTGTGTGTGTGTGTGTGTGTGTGTGTGTGTGTGTGTGAGAGAGAGAGAGTGGGTGTGTGTAAAATAAAATAAGAGAGGACGAGTATGTGTATTCACTTGATTATAATGTGTGCAAATAATTAATTATGTGTAGTTTAACCAGGAGAAGACATGTTCTCTATGGCCTATCTCTTCAGGGATCCAACTTGTGCGTCCTTGTCTCATCTTCTATTTTTATGTATAAGTAACTCTCAAGTAACACATTATACTCCTCAGTCTTCAAATGACCAATCTGGATTACATTTGCCGTAAAACCCCTACTTAAGCTATGCCTCTCACAAACACCCTCACCTGACCTATCGACGTGCCCAAGTCGTATACTCAAGTCGAATTTACTGACAATAGGAAAGTTGGTCATTTGAACAAGATAAAAAATCAATGTAACTTAATGCCAGACTTTCACTGAACGCTATTAGAATTAGCCAGATATTTGGACCCCTAACACTTTATACCAGATGAAATTAATGAGATTTGTCATTCGAAACTGAAACATTTTTCTATTAAAAATTAAATAATTTTTGTCTTCATTTTAAATCGACTCAGGCACATTACCTTTGAATTGATGTTCTAAACAAACATAATTTAATATGAAAGGTTCCCATAAAAGATGACTGACAGAATTTCCTATTGCATCTATAGACTCCATTTTGCTGGTTTGAAGAACAAAATTTAATTGCTCTGCCAAATAATAGCTAAAGATGTGTGCGCCCGTGGCATATTTACCCATGCCAGTGTAGCCCCATGCCACTCATGGAAAAACAGCCCGGGTAGACAGCTTGAGGATTTGCCTTGTATGGCCTTTTTGGTGGCAATTTCCCTCATGCCCACTAGAGCAAAAGAATACTAGGAGTGTGGCATTAGTAAAGAGGGAAGCTAGCATTTATTCGCTTAAAATAAAAACAAAGTTCATTGTTTGTCAAACGAGTCAGGGGAGACCACACAGCATAGAATTTGAATGAAATGACTGGATGTCTTTAAATCAGAGTTACGGCCTTTACAAATAATTTGCAAGGTTTGCTTTCTGTTGTTGCTGTTGTTGTTGTTGTTGTTTCCGTTGTTGGGGTTGGGGTTGTTGTTGTTGTTGTTGTTGTGGTTGTTGTTGTTGTTGTTGTTGTTGTTGTTGTTGTTGTTGTTGTTGTTGTGGTTGTTGTTGTATGGGTTTTTGTTTTTCCCCCCGAAACGTTCTCAGAGTGATTAAGAACCTTATTTTTTTAGGACCCCTTCAACTGAGATACCCATTTAAAATATTTGGCTCGTACCTATGAGGTCTTCTTAAGATAAGATAAGATAAACTATAATGATCCACGAAATACTTTTGGGTGGAAGCTACCAGAACATCAACATACACAGTTTAAGTATTACCATAGATATGCCAAAGAATACCCCCCCCCTCCCCACACACACACACACACACACTCGAAACATTGCACAACTGGTAATCCGTGTCGTCACTGAAGGCCCTCAGTATGATAGGGTTCTTACTCCACGTTTTTCGTACACTGCGTTAAACACTCAGGCATTACTAACAAACTTGCTTCGCTCACTGTGTCTAAAAACAAGAGTGCGTTGTTTGTCAAACAAGTCCAGGGAGACCACACAGCATAGAATTTGAATGAAATGACTGTATGTCTTTAAATCAGCGTTATGGCCTTTACAAATTATTCACACAATGTTTGCTGGTTGTTGTTGTTGCTGTTATTGTTGTTGTTGTTGTTGTTGTTGTTGTTGTTGTTGGGCACGAGACAATCTAACCTGTTTCTTGTTTTCAGTTTGTAGCCTATAAGAAAAAGTGTTTAAAAAATTGCGATATAAGATTTTGAATCAACTTTGAATCCCGTTTTCTCAAAACTATGTGCCATATCATTCTAAGGGTGCAACTTGACGGTTTCATCTTGAAAAAAATTGCATTTTGCTACCTTAGAGGTACAAAGTTCTAACTGACATTTTGGGGGGCTGTTTTGAGTACCTGGGACCATTGGGTGAGAAACTCTATCAAAATCGTACGATTATTCGGAGTCATTTTCAAAGATAGTCAAAGAATTATTTCGAGAAAGCTTGACAGGTGAAAGAACATTTTTAACTTCAACTTTCTCAAAGCTAGGTACTGAGCAGATATCATTTTGTAATTTTAAGGTAGTGATTTAACAAAGAGCCACATGATATATTAATGTAGTGATCGTGTAGCTTTCAATTACCCAAACAAAATTGCACGGGTGCCTCCTACAATTGAACAAGATGACAACATATACAACATTTCTCTACATCAACGTCCTCAAAGCAAGGTACTGAGCAAGCAGAGCTTTGTAATTCTAGGGAAGCGATTGATCCGGTTAAAGAGAAAGAAAAAAGGAAATTGTGGGGCATCGTTATGAAAATGGGCGCTCGTCAATCGAGTGGAATCAAAGAAATCTGTATTTTTATGGCCGTGGGGCAATTTTTTTTCCATTTTCTATGTTTGACTCAACACCTTTTTAATGCCTACTTTAAAACACATTCATGTGTGGATTTTACTATAAAAAGGTTGATTAGAGGCACACAAAATGTAAAGTTGCAGCTCAAGCTTTGGCAGTCACCAAACTTGAGGCCATTTTCTCACTAATTTTACCTCTAAACCCAGGCAACCGCGACTTCTTTCAACTGAAAATATTATTTCGACTTCCATTCAAGGTACGAGATGGGTAATTTTATTGTTATGCTAAAGCACGACAAACGAACTAGCTTTATGATGATATAAATAACTCTACACGCCCATGAATTGACGAGTGCCTGATTCGTAACTAAGGGTGCCGTCCAAACAATTTCAAACAAAAACAAAAAGTCTGGCCAGTTTTTCACATCCCTAAATCATCTGTGTGAAGAGAAAATCCGTTTTGGGGTTGTTGTTTTTTTGTTTGTTTTTTTGTTTATTTTTTTTTGTTCTTGTTTTTCTTGTTGTTGTTGTTTTGTTTTGTTTTTTGCTTCTCATGAAAAGTCGTGTTTTGGGTGGGTTTTATTAGATACGATAGTTTTGAACCCCAGGCCTGAAATACTCTCTGTCTCCAGGTCCTGTTTGCTCTGACCACCTGGAGGGTCGGGGCTGTGACAAACTCCACCTGGCCGACAACTGCAGCTCACCCCTCACCATGTCCTTGTGTCCTAAATATTGCAATCTGTGCGATGAGGACAGCTCACCAGCTGTGACCCCTATTTTGACCCCTGTGACCACTGATGAACCTGGTTGTGAGGATCATACAAGTGTAGAAATTTGTAAAAGTAAGAAAGCGATAACATTAGAACATTATGTTGGTGTTTGATTAGATAGATAGATAGATAGATAGATAGATAGATAGATAGATAGATAGATAGATAGAGAGAGAGAGAGAGAGAAAGAGAGAGAGAGAGATCGATAGATAGATAGAGATAGATAGATAGATTAATAGACGGATAGATAGATAACAAAAGATGGTGCAAAGTTCAGAGCAACGTTCTAGCAGTTTCTTGTTTTGTTAATCATAGAGCAAGTCAAGACGTGTACTTACCAGGACGGTACATTTATGCTGAGCTAATTATCTTCGGCCTTTGACGTCACGTATTGATACTTTCACCCAGTAATATGAAGCAAAAATTATTGTAGCTGTTATTGCATTTTGTTACTGCTACATTTCTAATCACATGTATTACAATTAAAGTAAATAAATACTGTTTGTTCATCACACACACACACACGCACGCGCGCTGTATTTAACGCACACACACACACACACACACATATATATATATATTTTTATATTTATATACGTGTGTATGGTTGTCCATATGTGTATGTGCGTGTGCTTGTGTGCATGTGTGTGTGTGTCTGCGTCTGCCTGTGTTTGTGTATGTGTGTGTGTGTGTGTGTGTGTGTGTGTGTGTGTGTGTGTGTGTGTGTGTGTTTGTGTGGGTGGGTGCGTGTGTGGATCTGTCACAAACCACAATAATTACACTTATCCTCTTCATTATCTTTGTCGTCATCATTATCACAATCATCACCATCATCATCATCATCATCATCTTCATCATCATCATCTTCATGATCATAAAAAAACGGGAAAAAGCAGTATGGATAACGCATAGATTAAGCATCTTCTTTTCAAGCTCCATATTATGCCAAAACAGCCCTGTCGCCTTTTCCTGTTGCACACAGCTGCAACCCCTATTGTCTACACGGTGAACCATGATTATTGTGAGTTTGGTCAAGTCGTAGTTTAAGACTGAGTGTTCTAATATGCACTTGTTACAGATTGGGGCTGCCCGTCCCCACCCCGCTCCCAACGAAAACACATTAAAAAACCGCGTTCATCTCCCACCCCTAACCCTCATCAACATCATATCGGGAATATATGGGGGTCCGTTTTTTTACTCTAACCTTCCATTGTTCGTTTTCCACTTTCACCTCAACTAATCCCCTTGTCCACACCATCATCCGAAAATTACCAATACAATTGTTTTCTTTAAAGATTTAATAGGCATTGAAAAATACTATTTCAAGTCAAGAACGACATTTGTTCTATTTTCTTTAGGTTTTTTCAGCAACTGTAAAACTGAGAACTTAGTTCAAATCGTCTGCCCAGGAACGTGTGGCCTCTGCACCACAACAGCATCAACGACGACATCAACAACAACACCAACAACAACGGCAACAACAACAACAACAACAACAACAACAACACCAACAACAACAGCAACAACGACAACACAACCAACAACAACAACAACTATTACTACTACCACATCCACTAGTGCCGCACCTACTACCACGACAACCACACCTACTACTATCACTACAACACCTACCACAAAAACTACTACCCCCACAACTACAACAACAACACCAACTACCACCACTACTCCCACAACTACCACTACAACACCTACCACTACAACTAGCACACCCACAACTACGACAACAACACCTACCACTACAACAACAACATCAACTACCACCACTACTCCCACTACCACTACTACAACTACACCTACCACTCCAACAACAACAACCACTACCACCACTACTCCCACTACAACTACTACAACTACACCTACCACTCCAACAACAACACCCACTACCACCACTACTCCTACCACTACTACAACGACGCCCACAACTACCACACCTACAACTACTACCACTACTCCGACCACAACTGCCACGACAACACCTACTACTACAACTACTACAACTACTACAACTACACCTACCACTCCAACAACAACACCCACTACCACCACAACTACACCTACCACTACTACAACGACGCCCACCACTACCACACCTACAACTACTCCCACTACTCCCACCACAACTGCCACGACAACACCTACTACTACAACTACTACAACTACTACAACCACTACACCTACAACTACCACCAACACTCCCAGCACCACTACAACCACTACTCCCACCACCACTACTACAACTACTGCACCTACCACAACTCCCACTACTACAACAGCACCCACCACAACTACACCTACTACTATCACTACCACATCTACAACTACAACCACAACTCCCACCACCACTACAATAACTACACCTACCACTCCAACAACAACACCAACCACTACCACTACCACACCTACTACTACTACCACTTCTCCAACTACCACTTTTACAACAACACCAACCACTACTACTACTTCTACACCTACCACTACTACAACTACACCTACCACCACTACTACAACAACGCCCACCACTACCACACCTACATCTACAACCACTGCTCCCACCACCACTACAACTACTACACCCAGTACAACTACAACTACAACACCAACTACCACTACAAAAACTACATCCCAAACCACGAGAGCAACTAGCAGCACACTGCCGACCACACCGGGACCTCGTAAGTATTCCTGGTGGCTCTCAATATGGTCTAGAGCTCACGGGGTCTGTCTTCCATTCAAAAGATCCCGGGCTCGGAACATGAAATCGACGAAAAACTTTTCTTTTCTGAAATGTTCACCTTTCACCTTCTTTCCTGCTCTCTAACCATGTTCTATCATCTGGTTTCGTCTCCACTTTCTGCTCCCACCCCCACCCCCTCCATCGCCCCTTCCTCTGTCCTCCTGACTCTTTCACAGACATAAACTAGAATGATTCTAGTACTACTCCTCTTCTCCTTCGTTCTGCTGTCTTTCAGTCACACCCGTGATCTTATTGTAGGTAAAATCCTAACACCACACCTTCTCAGACAAGGGCGCACCTTAAAGATCCCTTGGTAGTCCAAATCGATAAGAGTAAACTTTGGCCGCCACGCGGGCAAAAATAAACAATTAATTCCTACCTAACTGAAAATTTTTAACTTGTCCCGTGCGCTCACATGACATTTTGCAATCGTGAATCCCGTAAAACACTTACCAAAACAAGAACTAAGGTGTTCCGGAACTCATTATAAACACAAAGACTAATATGGACAGTCCTGTTGGCAATTCTAGGACTGAATGCCACGCGTGTATACAAGGCGTAAAACCCCCCAGATAATACACTACATACTATATAATGTTTGTTGGGGGTTTTTTTGTTTGTTAATGTAGGAGGTGGTGGACAATCCTTAGAAACATAGAGGAATGCCCAGGTCTCAAAGTAAACGGCGAAAACATTATTAGCATCAGATAAGCTGATGACACAGTTTTAATAGCAGACCCAGAAAAGGACCCTCAATCGCTTCTAAACACTGTCGTAACGGAAAGTCAATGTAAAGGGTCATTGTTAAATTTGAAAAAAAAAACCAGAATGCAGGATAATATTAAAAAATCAACAAAATCGTGTTTGTAATTTCATTGGCAAAGGTGAAAAGATCAAACAAGTTCAACAGTAGAATATTATACTATAATAACATATTATACATGATGCCAAACGTTCCACAGAAATAAAGCAAAGTTTTGTAATGGCTAAGGATAGTTTAAATAAAATGAACCCTAATCCTGAAAAATAGGAAAATCTCAATGACTACCAAAATGAAAGTTCTGAAATGCTATGCATCGTCAACCCCTCTAATAAATGGCTGTGAATGCTGGGCAATCACTAAAGACAGCGAAAATAAAATAGAAGCAACAGACATTTTTAATGTGATTTCTTAAGAGACTGCTGAAAATATCTTGGAAGGAAAAGATATCAAACAAGGTAGTATTTGAAGCAGCCCACGTAGTATGTTCACAGATAAAACAATCAGGAAAAGACGAACTGGCAGTTTTGGGAACACCTGAATAGACATAAAGGTCTTGAACATCTAAATCTCACAGGCAAAATTGAAGGCAAACAAGGCCCAGAGCAACCTACTTGGAGAACTTAAACAGATGGGTGGAAACGTTGCTTTTTTTTAAAGCATCGGAGCAAAGAAGTGAATGGAGAGCCATGATCACCGATGTTTGCAGCTGCAAATTTAATGTAGCACTTGGTAGTGAGGAAGATGTTGAATTTTTATTCACCCTGCCCATTCCCGTGATATGACATAACTTTTGTCTTTATTAGTTTCATTAAAATGTGCTGCCTTTTAAATTTCAAAGTTAAATGTAAGCGAAAAAAAAACCCGGAAGGAAATGCTGTTGGCCTGATAATTCTTTCTCGGCTGACTACACCAGCCTTCACGCCATTAAAATATTTCTTCAGCTTTTTTCTTCTTCTTCTTTTTTTATATACATTTGTTAGTACATTGTCCATCTAGATAGAAGAACGATTTAGTTTGGGGGGGGGGGATATATTTATGTTTTGTTTTGGGGTTGTTGTTGTTGTTGATTTTGTTGTGGTTGTTGTTTTTGTATTAACTCATTTGATTATTTTCCTTTCAAGAAGTTTTCAGCAGTCTCCTTAGAAACCACACGTTTATCTTTCTGTTTTGTTCTTTCTTCTTTTTCCTTTTACTCCCTCCCCCCACCCCACTCTTCCAATGCCCCCACCTCCATCCCACCCATTCTCTTCCACCCCCATCCCTTCCCCTCGTCCCCCCTCCCAACTTTTTATTAAGCCCGTAGCTGCTATCAGTGTGGGAGTGTAAGTTCTGAATGTGGACCTGTGGATCTTATCATTGGCCAGCCATCCGTGTGTCCAGACGGGAAGATGTTCTGTATGAACGATATCGCTATCGTGGGTGGTCGGAGAAAAGTTGTCAAACGGTACAAATCGTTCTTTTTCCTAGCATGATGAAATAGATACTATAATATTTGTGTGGCATCCTAGTGAAATGAGGCGCGCGTCAAAATAATGAAATTATTATTGATAAAGGTAATATTGTTTTCTCACCTGTTTGGCAAATTTCTTTTTCCTCAACACCTTTTGCGTCCACTTAAAAGTACATTTATTGTGCATGAATTTTGTTGAAAAGCGTTGAACAAAGGCAAAGAATAATTATGTACATTTGCAGTTTCTTCGACTTTCTAGCTTTGAACTTCAGTAAATTTGGTTGTCACTTCTTTTGATAATTTTACCTCTGAAACCGGGCAACTCCACCTCGACCTCCGTTCAAAATAGATGGATATTGGGTTTTTTTTCTCATCAGAAGCAAGACAAATGGACACGTTTTAAGGTTATTTCAATAACCCTCATATACCAAACATTAAGACGCGGTAGAACCGGGCGTTCGGTAATTCTTGGGCATGTGGGGTTATTGGTAACATCTTAATGTATGTTCAGTTGACAATCTTTCAATGGAAAAAAAATACTCATCTATCTTGAATAAAAGATGCGATATTTATAATTGAAGGATGAAGGGGTCGCCTGTTTTCAGGGGTAAAATTATCATGACGCCAAAGTTTGATAACTTCAATAACTTGAAAGTCCTTGAAAATTGAAAGTTTACCTTGTCATATTTTGTACCTTCTATAAACGTAAATTCACATGAATATGTATTTTTAAATGGACACAAAAGGTATTGAGCTGTAAAACAAATATTCGAACATTCGTCGAACTGACGATAAAACGCTGATATCTTCGATTTCATTGTTTTGACAAGAGCCTGATTTCACCACGATGCCTCACATTTTGTTTAAGCTTACCCCCTCGGACTTTTTTGAAAAACTCTACCTCAGAATTACAAAGTTTTGTTCCCGTTCAGTACCTAGTTTGGAGGAATAAGACGTAAAAAAAATTGAGCATCAAAATAATATTTCTAATTTTTTCGATTGCAATTCTTTGAATATCTTGATAACGACTCAGAGAAAACTTATGAATTTGATAGAGTAGATAAAGCATGATTTAATTGTGATTTCTGACCTCGTGGTCTTAGTAGCTCAAAACGGCCACACCATGTCCGATAGAACTTCATAATTCTAGGTAGCCAAATGTTATTGATAAGTGTATCATTTATAATTTATGGCGTTTCACGGAAGTATTTTGGGCAAAATGTGTATTCTTTATGTGATAAGGGCCAACAGCCTTAAACACAGAATAACATACCTAGATACCTACGTAGATACTTATTTATGCCTACCTACCTACCTACCTACCTACCTACCTACCTACCTACTTATCTACCTACCTACCCACCTACCCTCACGGATTCTTGCATCAGCGTATGTGGTATAGTCTAACATGGCCGTAAATGAACAGAAACGGCGCTGAATGTCCTGGCAACAGATGAACCGCACGATATTTCTGATGTTAGTACTATCCTTTTAGAGGGTTGGGGGGGGGGGGGGGGGAGAAAATGATCAAATGCTATAGCGTTGTTGTTTTTTCCTTAAATAAATAAAGACCTAAACTTAATTAATAGACAAAGAATATAGAAAAATCTTCGAAGTTTTGGGCAAAACGTGACGCCTTTTTTATTATAACAACGATATTATGAATATTTTTTTAACGGTTTAGCAGTTACGTGGCTCAGTCAGAATTGTTGGCAGTTTTGTCAATCCTAAACTGTAAGTAGGCCTAACAGAACAATGAGAGAGTGGTTGGGACACAGAGAGAATGTGTCCGTATGTATACCTGAAGCCCATTGCTGACTGTTTTCTCCTAAGTTAGTGAACTGTTGGTGAATGCTCTGATGTGGTTTGCTCCTTTTCCCCTATCAAACACCTATCATCCTTATCTCTCCCTCCTTTATTTTTCGTTGTTTGTTACTCTCATATAACACCTCTACTAATCTCTGGCATTTATATAATCTAATTGGAATTTAAGTACCATAAAACTTCCAAATGTTCTCGAATTTTTCTCCCCAGGTGTGTAGACGAGCCAACATGCTACACGGACTGGTTCCTCCAATCCTCAGACAGAAGCAAATGTGTGAACTATGACCCGGATTTGGGCTTGACCGATGACCTTGACTGCCACTTCTGTTGTGTGGAAGACAACTGTAATCAGAAATTCAAACCCGCGCTTGACAAACTGTATAACCCTGTCAACTGAACAAATGCTAAGTTATATGAAATACCCTTTAATTTTTTCCCCTTTTTTTTACTTAAAACAAAATTCAAGTGACGTTGACATCAACTAGATAATATTATAATTGAGGCCGAAGCCTCCCCAAGGTTATGTATATCACTCCCATTTTGAACTCGACACAAGGCCGAAAAGTCGAGAACAGATTAGTACACAGATGCTACACTTCGATCTTATCCAAAAGGCCGAGCAGCGATGAAATATCCAATGCCAGTTGCCCGTATTTGATTTGTTCGATTCAATCAACTCCAGCGAGATTGTGATACATACAAGAGTAAAAGTTACCATTTTGGGTCAGAGTATGACCAATTTGGCCCGCGAACTATAAAAAGAGCATGCTTGATATTGAAGGTCACAGTCGAATTTAGTTGAATTGGTCCATATTATAACACAGTGGTAGCTTTGGGGATGATTGGAGGGTGCTCTGGTGTGCTTTGCTCCTTCTTTCAAATCAGACATCTCTCGTCCTTTTTTCTGCTTCTTCCTCATTTTGTGTTAGTTACTATTCTCTTGAGACACCCCGAATCTTCGATACTTATATGACCTTATTGTGTTGCAAATTATAAAACTACAACTGGCAGCTCTTACCCAATCCATGAAGAATATTATCGAGTTGGCCCCAACCGAATGAAATTAACCAAATAATGAAAATTGATTAAATTATCAAAGTGGGAGTTTGTGATTGTCAGAAGGTTTATAGAGGTGTGCGAATTACACAGTTGTTTTTCTCAATGAAGCCCTCTGACTTTGATATCCGTAGCAGCAACAGCAGCAGCAGCAGCAGCAGCAGCAGCAGCAGCAGCAGCAGCAGCAGCAGAAGCAGTAGTAGTAATAGTAGTAGTAGTAGTAGTAGTAGTAGTAGTAGTAGTAGTAGTAGTAGTAGTAATAGTAGTAGTAGTAGTAGTAGTAGTAGTAGTAGTAGTAGTAGTAGTAGTAGTAGTAGTAGTAGTAGTAGTAGTAGTAGTAATAATAGTAGTAGTAGTTGTAGTAGTAGTAGTAGTAGTAGTAGTGGTGGTGGTGGTATTGTTATTATACACTATTATACAGTATTGTAGAGAATTATTTATGATCAGTTTTTTTTAACCTATGACGGTTGGTTTTTAGCCTACAGTATTATTTTAGGGTATGCAAACGATGTGATTATATAACTGACCGTGTGATTATTACTACAAACAATTACTACTTATATAATAAAATATATATATACATCATTATATATGTAAAATATATATTATATATATATATATATATTGTCGTATCACAACGAGATGAATCGGGCGCTCGTCAATTTTTGGATACGTGGAGTTGTTGGTTTCATTTTAAGTTTGTTGATTTGTCTTGCTTTCGGTGAAAAAATAACATACTCATCTCTCATGGATAGAAGTCGGGATATTTGCGATTGAAGAAGGTTGGGGTCACCGGGCTTCAGAGGTAAAATTAGAAAGAAAATGGCCGCGAAAGTTGTTCTAATTTTAGTAGAGGTTTTACGGCTCTTGCAATTGCATGAGGTGATATGAGCGCCAAGGAGTGGATGTCAACAGATATGTCCTTACAGAGAATCAGGCTTACTCTGCTCACCTCTCTAGCCTCAACAGCACTAAGTCTGCTTCCACTATCATGGCACCCCGGAAATAGCCGGTCACAAGAGTGTGACAAACATACACAAGAAGTAGAGGGGAAAATTGCGGTAGTAAGGATTAGGAAAATAAAAAAGCAGCACCTCCCTGTTGCAGTTCATGCACAGTTATGAGCATGACATTGATGAATCAGCCCACTTACAACTCTACTCCGCATAAGAACATGTTAAGTCACCCCCCCCCCCCACCCCACCCTCTTTGGGAATTTCCTTAAAGAAATGTTTTTAGATGGAAAGTGTTGAGTCAAAAAAAACAACGCCTAACAAAACATTTCGTTACAAATTGCCAAAAGGACAACAAAATGCATTTCTTCGATTTCATTATTTTGACGAGTGCTCGATTTCACCACGATGCCTAATATATGAAAATTATATTGAATATACAATGATCCACCTCCCCCACTCACCTCCACACATTCACACCCATCAAACAACCCATGTCCATGGATGCCCTGTATCGTGTTCAGGTTTATCTACATACACATTAGAATCAAGTACTGCCGTAAACTTACAAAAGGCATTTTATCTTCATTTTGTGGAGCCATTTTTTAATTTGTCAAATCGATATCCCGATCACTTACTCTACTTGTGTGGGAAAAAATGAAAATGAAACTGTGACTAGTTTTTAAATAAATTAGAATTCAAAATTTGGAAGAACCACTTATTTTAATGATTACGTTGATAAAATACTTTTTTCTCGAAACTATTTTTAATTTTGAAAAAGCCTTTGTCAGCATAATACGGCAGCTTTGTGCCAATTACAGAGGTAACAATGCACGTGTATAAGTTGATCCTGTGCAAAGATCGTTTTAATTTTGATTGACGCGACGTTATTCATTAAAATCTAGTAGTTTTGATCGCCATATTTCAGTAGAATATTGTTCTCAAAGTTATATAATTTTTAATATAACTTTTAGAACAATGTTCTACTGATATATTACGTCGATCAAGCCACCCAGCCTATAACACCCTCTCCTCCTATTTGTGTTTTGGTGCAAATATTAAATGATAATTATATGTACGAATGGATTGTAAACGTATTATTTGTATCTGTTGCGTGTATGAAAGCAGCATTTAAGATTTTGAATTGTTGTGAAATATCTTGGGAGAATGTGATTGATCATTTTACAAACTTGTGCCAGATAAGAGTGCAAGTATTCCTCCCATATGCTTGTAGTTTAGCATGGAAGCTTTTGTTTTGTTTGTTTGTTTGTTTTGTTTGAGTAAAAAGAAGAAACAGGAGAATGTGACTGAAGATTCTTCAAAGTTATGACAGATTACATTGTAAGTATTCCTTCCTAGTGCTTGTAGTTTAGCATGGAAGCTTTTGTTTTGTTTGTTTTGTTTGAGTAAAGAGAAAAGATATCGACGCAATAACGACCGTAGGGGCGGGGAAGAAGCAAGACGGATAGACAGAAACAACAAAGGTGAAAAGAAAAGTAGGATCTACGTATGCGCCCTATAACCTGTACTTATGGTCTTATAAAAACAGATTTTAGCAGGTATTAGCAAACAGTGTCTTGTCTCTATAAGACAACAACGTCAATACTCCCCATGCCACGTGCATCACGATGATTACAGTCTGCTGTCTTATGTTCTTACGAGGATAAAAAAAAGACAGTTGCTAGTCCACAGTGACCCACAGATCTGCACACTAAATCAAGCATGTTCAAAATGGGTCGAATCAAATCTTCACATGTAGATACGCCTATCATATTAAAGATATTAAGCTACCTTAGAATTTCGAAGTTCGTTCTGACATTTTGGCTGTTTTGAGTGACTACGACCATGAGTTCAGAAACCATTATCTGCTCAATCAAAACCGTAAGATTATTCGGAATCGTTATCAAGAGTATTCAAAGAATTACTTTCGAAAAAGCTTGATATGTTGTGAAACTCAAAATTTTAATGTAAAATTCCTCACAACCAAGTATTGAACATGAGATAGAACTTTGTAATTTTAGAGTAGGGATTTTTATCTTGTATTATACTTGTGTTGCTAACGGAGTCATCGATTCAGCGTCTTTTACGATAGTCTCTTTACTCCGTGGTGGGCCATAGCCGAGTCTCCAGTACTAAGCTCTTCCGTGCTGATCTGCCACGATGGAAGGGATCTGCTGTAAAACATACTATGAAATCTGAATGAACTTTAAACAAAAAATTCATTAAGGACGAGCTTTCGGGAAACTCAGAAACATTTTCTTTCTCTGGCTGGAGAAGAACTGCCTTCTGCTGGCAACGTACTGCAATGACCCTAACCGTTACACCACAGACGTCAGTACCTTTGCTGGACCAGCGAGGACAATTCTGTAAGGGTTTTTGTATTGCTTTTTGTTTGTCTGCTGGTGTTGTTGTACTTGATTTTGTTGTCGTTATTCTTCATTTCAATGGGTGTGTTTCTTTCCATAGTGTTTAATACGATTAATATTAGTCTAAAGTAAGAAAAGGACTTTGATAAGCAGATTTCATATGTAAGGATATTTGACTTCAGCGATTTACTATTTTAAAACCTTGATCCTCAGACAGGCAAAGAAGAATGGCGCGCCACTTGCTCAGTTTGTGTCATCCTGAGAGCGCATGGTCTTAGGTCGAATCCCTTATGGGGTGTTCTGGAACTTGAAGTGAATATGGAATTTTACAAGGCTTTCAAATTACATATCCCCGTCTTTCTGCTCAGGAAAGTTCCTAAAAAGGAAGTTAGATCCCTAAATTACCACTCCACACGCGTTGACATAACCAATGATGTCATTCTGTAATGTGTTTTTCCTTTTGGATAATGGACTTACTAAATAACATACGGGAAGTATGTTTTGTTGCCAGAATAATGTTTTTTAAAGACGCAAATAAAAGTTGAGCACTTGGTAGGTGCTCTGATGTGGTTTACGTCTTCTTTTTTCACCAAAAATCTCTCGTTCGTATCTCTTCTCCTTCTTGTCTGGGGTTTCTGTTACTCTCTTATAACACCTCTAATCTTCAAATCGTATCACCTAATAAAAGTTTAGTTCTTGGATCTGTCTTCCTTCTTCTTTTGGTTCTCTTGCTCTCTTATAACACCTTTAATCTTCAAATCTTATATCATCTTATAATTTTACACGTGCGGTAAAACTCGTATTGAAACAAAACAGACAAACGTACTTAGACAGAAACTACAACACTTTAAAAAATGGATAGATATTACAAGAACGTTATTTTATTTCTTTAATGTTTGCCGATCACAGTTCAAAACAGAAGTTTCGTAATGGCTCAGCGACCAAAGATAGGACCCCTGTAGGATCTATTCATCCAGCGATTGTCCTCCAGTGACAGGCAACATCGAAGTTTCGAAATACAT